TTCTATAATGATTCAAGGATGCCGAAATATAACAAACATGCCAATCATATAACGGGAATGTAATGCATTCATAAATCAATGAATCAATACAAAGTCAAAATGTCATATCACGGATCATCCTAGAGCATTACAACCAACAATCTCCCACTATGCTCTATGATCTATCCTACAAGCATCTAATCCCCATACCCTTAACATTTCACCAGTTGTGATGCTTAAATCCATTCGGATTCTGCTGGCCATAGCTGCGTATTATGACTATGAGATATGGCATATGGACGTCAAGACCGCATTCCTTAACGGGAATTTGCTCGAGGATGTGTACATGACACAACCCGAGGGTTTTGTCGATCCTAAGAGTCCGAGGAAGGTGTGTAAGCTTCAGAGATCCATTTATGGACTGAAGCAGGCTTCGAGGAGCTGGAATCTTCGATTTGACGAGGCAGTCAAAGCGTTTGGCTTCCTGCAAAACGAAGATGAGCCATGTGTTTACAAGAAGGTCAGTGGGAGCGCAGTGGTCTTCCTTGTGCTTTATGTAGATGATATATTGCTCATCGGAAATGACATTCCTACCTTGCAAGGAGTAAAATCCTGGCTAGGATCGGTCTTTTCGATGAAGGACTTAGGAGAAGCCGCCTATATTCTAGGAATCAAGATCTATAGAGATAGATCGAGAAGGCTTCTTGGTCTAAGTCAGAGTACATACATTGACAAGGTTTTGAATCGGTTCAAGATGCAAGACTCCAATAGGGGTGCCTTGCCAATGGGACATGACGTTGTTCTTAGCAAGACTCAGTGTCCAAAGACACAGGATGAGCAAGAGCGCATGAGTAGGATACCATATGCATCGGCAATTGGATCCATCATGTACGCCATGTTGTGTATTCGTCCAGATGTATCATATGCATTGAGCATGACTAGTAGATATCAATCTACACCAGGTGAGGCTCACTGGATTGCGGTCAAGAACATCCTTTCGACACTCTGCTTATCTTCACGTCTCCTCTGTCGATGATTTCTCTGATCAAGTGAAATCGCCTGAGTATGTGTTTGGATCTCTGGTGTGACCGGGGTTCCTTAGCTTGTGCAATCGCACCATTGTTGTCACAGTACAGCTCAATGGGATCTGCAATGCTAGGAATAACGCCCAGGTCTCCCACGAATTTCCTGATCCAAACAGCTTCCTTAGCTGCATCCGATGCTGCTATGTACTCGGCTTCTGTAGTCGAATCTGCAACGGTTGGCTGTTTAGAACTCTTCCAACTGTTAGCCCCACCGTTTAGGCAGAAAACATAACCTGACTGCGATCTGAAGTCATCTCTGTCGGTTTGGAAACTAGCATCGGTATAACCACTTATAGCGAGCTCGTCTTCCAATCCGCCATACACCAAGAACAAATCCTTAGTCCTTCTCAAGTACTTAAGGATGTTCTTGACCGCAATCCAGTGAGCCTCACCTGGTGTAGACTGATATCTACTAGTCATACTCAATGCATATGATACATCCGGACAAGTACACAACATGGCGTACATGATGGATCCAATTGCCGATGCATATGGTATCCTACTCATGCGCTCTTGCTCATCCTGTGTCTTTGGACACTGAGTCTTGCTAAGAGCAACGTCATGTCCCATTGGCAAGGCACCCCTCTTGGAGTCTTGCATCTTGAACCGATTCAAGACCTTGTCAATGTATGTACTCTGACTTAGACCAAGAAGCCTTCTCAAAACGTGTGGCCACGCTATAGATGAAGTTGCATCTATTTTACTAGTCGATTTGCGAAGATGAGAAAGCAGTTGAACTTGAAGGGTGGCTCAAACCATGCCCTTGTTCAACTTATGATATCGTGAGCCAAAGGATCAGAATTCGAGCTGTTAATGCCTTATTTAGATCACCTCTAACTCAATTCTAAATGGGTGGTCATGGCGTCTTGCTAGAGGCTAACCATGACTTGTGGTTCGGGAAAGGTTCCTAAAGTCACTACCACTTAGAATGGGCCTACAGGGTCACACACCAATAGGGATGGACTTATATGTGAAGAATACGAATAATGGAAACGAGATTTGACCGAAACGAGCATGAAAAGGAGTTTTCAGTGTGTTGGTCCGGAGCTGACCAAGTTTGGTCAGCCCCGGACCAAGTCTGGTCAGATCAGGCAGTCCGGAAGAGTAGTCCGAGGTCGCCTGTCTAGGTCTGGTCCGGCTGACCAAGAGTTGGTCAGCCGCTGACCAGATTCTGGGACAGGCGGACCGAGAGAAGGCGCGGCGGACTGAGCAGGCGAAGGAGGAAACTTGGTCCGGAGCTGACCGAAACTTGGTCAGCCGGACCAAGCCTTCAAGTCTGGCGGACCGCGTGCTTCGGACTAAGTTTGGTCCGCCGGACCAAGCTCCTGGTCCGGCGGACCGGGATCCGGAATATTTCCAAAATTCGAATTTTAGGGTTTTCTAATCTTATTTTAAGTTTAGGGTTTCGTCTAAACTTAAAGAGAGCCGACCAAAAACTCAGAGAAATACCCTAGAACTCTAGAGAAGCTGTTCTCTTGGATTTCTATTGTCATGGGATTGGATCTCGTCTCTTGAGTTACCCTTTTCTTCACTAATCCTAGCAGATTCGTTCCAAATTGTTTGGAATCCTTCCCGTCGGTGTGGATACGTGTAGAGGAGCTGTACTTTCAGCTCTTGGTGATTTAGAACAGGCCCCGGATCGAAACAAATTTCAAGTCTCATCGAGAACGAGGTAAGTAACGATTCCCTCGGTGATATACACGATCTTTCGGGTTCTGCGAGTTTGGTTGCGTGTGACGTTTGACTAGGTTTAGATTTTTCTTCCGCTGCATGAAACCTAATAAACCAAACCCTAGATCGATATGATCGCATGCTAGGAACCCGTAGATAACCCAACAGTCATTGTCTTCACAACTGATGAATTTGAAGACAGATTATAATCTTCCAGAGAGATGCATAGACGGATTCAGTCAAATGTTTAAACGCTATCTCCCACAAGGTAATACTTACCTTACTGCACCTGATTCTTATTACGATACAAAGAGTTTAATGCGAACCTTGGGTCTACCGTACAAGAAAATTGATGTTTGCGAAGATAACTGCATGATTTTTTTGGAAAAATGATGCGAATTTGATGCAATGTCGTTTTTCCGGAAAAGATAGATATAAACCACGACAAAAATCTTCGAAGAAAAGCAAGTTAATTCCGTTAAAAAGAATGTTTTATATGCCAATAACGGATCGTTTGAAAAGGTTATATCAATCCGAAAAGACTGCATCTCATATGCGGTGGCACGCAGAACATTCTAATACAGAAGGAGATATGCATCATCCGTCTGATGGACTAGCATGGAAACATTTCCAACATGTATCTCCAGATTTTGCTAGAGAACATAGAAACGTCTACCCTGCATTATGTACAGATGGGTTCAATCCATTTGGAATGTCTAGTCCAAACTACTCTTTGTGGCTGGTGATTCTTACACCGTATAATTTACCGCCTCAATTGTGCATGAGTAGAGAGTTTCTGTTTCCATCTATATTGGTTTCGGGACCCAATCATCCTAGAAAAAGTCTCGATGTATTTCTTCAACCATTGATACAAGAGTTGAATGAGTTGTGGAGTAATGGGGTCGAGGCATATGATGTCTCAGTTATGCAAAATTTTTTACTTCCGCCGTACTTATGTGGACCATAAGTGATTTTCCATCATACTCAATGTTGTCAAGTTGGACAACTCATGGGCGGTTAGCGTGTCCTTATTGCATGGAAGACATTGATTCGTTTTGGTTGCAGAATGGTAGAAAAATGAGTTAGTTTGATTGTCATCGTCGGTTTCTACCAATATCTCATGCATTACGGCATAACAAGAAGAATTTTCGTAAGAATAAAGTAGTGACTCAAACTGCCCCACTTGAGCTTACTGGAGATGAGATATTGTTCGAACGTATCGAAGATTGTATAAAGTCATATGGTTTAGCAACTACTGCAGATGTCGGGGGAAATGATCATTTGCAGATCGAAGGATACGGTGAATATCATCATTGGCATAAGAAAAGTATTTTTTGGGATTTGCCTTATTGTAAATATCACAAGTTGCAACGCAATCTTGATGTCATGCATATCGAAAAAAAATTTTTCGATAACATCATCAATACATTGTTGAATGTCTCATCGAGATCAAAGGATAACGTGAACTCCAGAAAGGATCTTAAGTTAATTTGTTTGAGGAAAGAGTTAGAGTTAACATCAAATGGAAAAGCCCCAATCCCTATTTTTCGGGTTTTTGGAGAAGGACAAAAGAATTTTTTCACGTGGTTAAAAGAAGATGTAAAATTTCCAGATGGATATTCTTCTAACCTATCTCAATGTGTTGACATCGAAGGAAAAAAATTGATGGGTATGAAGAGTCATGATTGTCATGTATTCATGCAACGATTGCTTCCTATTGTATTTGTAGAGTTACTTCCAGAAAATATACATGAAGCATTGTCATGTATTTTATTTATATAATGGATGGAAATATATTTTTAAATTTCAAATAAATCTACAATCATATATGTTTATCTGATGTTTGAATGTAGGGATCAGTATATTTTTTCGTGATCTTTGTGCTCGGACATTAAAAATTGAATGTAGGGATCAGTATATTTTAGGTTTGACGTAACGAATGTGTTGTTGGAGACGATCAAGAAGATCATTTTTGCGAACTTTAAGGGACCGTGGTTGAGTTTCACTCGTTGTCCTCAAGCTGTATGAGATCAGTGGTTTGCAGCATTTGCGCTAAATTACGTTTTTTTAAGTTAGATATATATTAGTTATTTTGTATTTGTTTTAATGATCTTACAATATCAATGTGTTAACAATCATATTACTGGGATGAGTCGGTCCGCGACATTGTCTACGCAACTTGGAAAGACGTCGTGACCAATCGACTCAAAGATTCCATCTATCGACTTAAGCAAAGCCGGCAACAGCCAGAATGGATGACTTCAAGGGTTTGGAACATGATGGTAGAAATTTGGGATTCGGACGACACAATGTGGACGGATAGCTTCGAGCAATAGGAAGGCTCGAGCTGCATCGGATCGGGCGCCTCCAACACATACTGCGGGTCTGAGATCTTTTGCCCGTGTCACCCATGATATAGTAAATTTAATATATCATAACATTGTTTTTAATTTTAAACGTTTTTAGTTTTTACTAATTACGAAATTTTATTGTAGACGCGGAAGGAAGGTGTTGAACCTTCCGTTTTGCGTGTGTTTCGGGAAACGCACTGTCGTTCTGATGGTACATATATCGGCGATCGAGCACAGAAAATCGATGAGGCGGTTAATTCGAAGATCAGTGATCATCTATCTCAACTTGCTAAGAGTTCGGGATCAACACAATTGACTCCTCAAGAGATCAACAATCTTTTTTTAGAGGTAATCATTAATCAAATATCTATATTTTTTTTATTAATTTTGCTATCAATATATATATATTTTTTCTATAGGTCGTTCAACCCGATGTTCGCGGTCGTATCTATGGTGTTGGATCAATGGCGAGTCATTTAGGCGGCGGGGATCCGAATCCAGCATCTGTCACCCGCAATGTGGCACTGACGAAAGAAGTGGAAGAGCTTCGACGTAACCAAGCGGATATGCAAGCCAAAATTGTCGTTTTGAGGAGATGCTTCAGAGATTCATGCCGCCGGACGAGAATTCTATAGTTGCATCGGCACAATGCTCGGGTCAGGGAGGATCCGAAGAAATGGTTCAACAATCTCCTCAACCTAACGAACCTAACGATCATGGTATATAGATCAAGAATTTCCCGACATTTTGTTTTAGTTGTTTTATTTTATGTTTGAATTTTTAATGTTAAATAAAAACTTATTTTAATTTTGTTTATATTTGAATTTAAAAATTTACGTATAATTTTACTATATTTTTAGTTTTAATTTTAATTATATTTTAAATTTAAATTAATATTATTTTTTTAAAATTTTTAAAAATCATGCGACGGCAGACTCCGTCGCAATACTGTTGCAAAAATACGACCGAAAATTGCGATCATAGAACGACAGTCGCGTCGTCGCCGACTGCGAGAATTTTTGTGACGGTAATTTACAGTCACAATACTAAATGAATTTCGTCATCAGTTACGACAATACATTTCGTCGCAAATTACGACTACGCAACAACGGTATCCGGCGTCGCAAAACTTGCGACTAAACAACCTGTCGTCGCAAATATTGCGACCACATACCAACGGTAACCAATAGTCGCAAAACTTGCGACGACAAACCAACGATTTTATGTAGTCACAAGTAGCGACGAAGTAGCGACAACGGTGTCTTTGCGACAGTCGAATACCGACTGTCTTTGCGACAGCCTATTTTGCGACGGAATATTTCTCATCCCGCAACTGTAATTGCAGTCGCAATAGCCGACGTTTTTTGTAGTGGTGGTTTATTTTGAACGGTGTACCCGTTAGATATTCGATCACCGAACATGCCATTATCTCTGGTCTAAACTACGAAAAGTATCCAAAATATTAGGCTGAACGCAGAAGAAGAAGATGAAGAAGAAGGTTCCGAGGAAGAAGAAGAAGAAGAAGAAGAAAAAATACCCTTTGAAAAGATATTGGAGGATCTGGATAAATAATAAAATAAGACAAAACAAGTCAAATGGATCATATTATTCGAGTTATATGGATAAAAAATTAGGATTTCAGTTAGAAAGTGAGAAGCAATATTTTTCACAGAAGATTTGTCATATGAAAGCTAAATAGCCATACTAGTCACACTAGTCACACTTGAATGGTGTGACCAGTTTGACTAGTCTGATAAATCTAGTTAAATGGGTCACATTCGTCAAGTTCACATACCAGTGAAATGGTTGTACGATTACATTAATCAAAGTGGTCATGAAGTTAAGTGGTTATACTAGTTACACACTGGTCGTACTTGAATAAACAGTCTATATAACAATTTTCATTAGTAAAAAATATTCACAACTCTCTGAATTTAGCACTTTATTGTTTTTACAATGCATATTCTCCTAAAAGAAACTCCAATATTCTATTACATTTTTTATAACACATTAAGTTAGGGTAGATTATATTATTTTCCAATATGATTTACGAATAACAAAAACTCGTTAGATGCACCATAATAAGCCTTATATACAACGTTGAACCTTCAAAATTTAATTTACACTATCATTTGACCAGCTTGATTCGTCGCACCGTCATACTCGTCGCACCGTCAAACTAGTCAAACTCGTCGCACCCTCACGAGTTTCGCGAATTTATCATTCACACTATAAACATGTTAATAAACAGTCCATATAACAATTTTTACAAGTAAAAAATAATCGCAACTCTCTAAATTCAACACCTTATTTCTTTTACAATGCATGTTCTCCCAAAAGAAATCCCAAAGTTCTAATACACTTTTTGTAACACATTAGGTTATGGTAGATTATATTATTTTCCAGTATGATTTACGAATAACAAAAACACGTTAGATACGCCATAATAAGCTCTATATACCACGTTGAACCTTCAAAATTTAATTTACACTATCATTTGACCAGCTTGACTCGTCACACCGTCATACTCATCGCACCGTCAAACTAGTCAAACTCGTCGCACCCTCACGAGTTTCGCAAATTTATCATTCACACTATAAACATGTTAATAAACAGTCCATATAACAATTTTTACAAGTAAAAAATAATCGCAACTCTCTAAATTCAACACCTTATTTCTTTTACAATGCATGTTCTCCCAAAAGAAATTTTAAAGTTCTAATACACTTTTTGTAACACATTAGGTTAGGGTAGATTATATTATTTTTCAGTATGATTTACGAATAACAAAAACACGTTAGATACGCCATAATAAGCTCTATATACCACGTTGAACCTTCAAAATTTAATTTACACTATCATTTGACCACCTTGACTCGTCACACCGTCATACTCGTCGCACCGTCAAACTAGTCAATCTCGTCGCACCCTCATGAATTTCGCGAATTTATCATTTTCACACTATAAACATGTTAATAAACAGTCCATATAACAATTTTTACAAGTAAAAAATAATCGCAACTCTCTAAATTCAACACCTTATTTATTTTACAATACATGTTCTCCCAAAAGAAATCCCAAAGTTCTAGTACACTTTTTGTAACATTAGGTTATCGTAGATTATATTATTTTCCAATATGATTTACGAACAACAAAAACACGTTAGATACACCATAATAAGCCTTATATACCACGTTGAACCTTCAAAATTTATTTTGCACTATCATTTGACCAGTTTGACTCGTCGCACCGTCATACTCGTCGCACCGTCAAATTACTCAAACTCGTCGCACCCTCACGAATTTCGCGAATTTGTCATTTTCACACTATAAACATGTTAATAAACAGTCCATATAACAATTTTTACAAGTAAAAAATAATCGCAACTCTCTAAATTCAACACCTTATTTATTTTACAATACATGTTCTCCCAAAAGAAACCCCAAAGTTCTAGTACACTTTTTGTAACACATTAGGTTATGGTAGATTATATTATTTTCCAATATGATTTACGAATAACAAAAACACGTTAGATACGCCATAATAAGCCTTATATACCACGTTGAACCTTCAAAATTTAATTTACACTATCATTTGACCAACTTGACTCGTCGCACCGTCATACTCGTCGCACCGTCAAACTAGTCAAACTCGTCACATCATCACGAATTTTACGAATTTATCATTTTCACACTCTAAACATATTAATATGATCAGTTTGACTGTGTGAATCATAGTAATGTTGATTTAACTCATTTATGTCTATATAATATGACGTGTTACTCATATATGTTCCATTTTATTCATTTATATCATATGAATCAAATTTTAAAGATAAAAACGTAGTAAACCCTAAATGCCCAAAATAGATATCATATTTTGGAAGGAAAATTTGTCTATTATCGAAATTTTTGTTTAATAGATGAAAATTTTGGAGATTATAATTAGTTAACCAATAAATCACATGGAAGAGAGAAGATTCAAAGAAAGAGAGAGCGTAATCGAAGAGAAAGTGTAACAGAGGAGAGAGAATGAGTGACGGAAGAGAGAGAAAACAGTGAAGAGAGAGAAAAACTTATTTTTATATAATTATATTAAATTAAAAAGTAAAGGGTATTATTGAAAATGTATATTTATAAGGGTAAATATGATGTTGCTTTTTTTTTTTTTTGCTTTAGATGAATGGTATATGTTGAAGCTCAATGTATCATTTAAGGGTATTTTTGCAATTGACCCTATTAAATCCAATAGTACCATCGTCTTGAGTATCATCTTGTATTCATTTTGTTCTTTTTTTTCTTTCTTCTAGTTTTTTTTTCTCCCGACGACGGTGTTCATCCCTGTCAACTCTAGCCGATGTGCTACTTTTTTTTTCCGACGACGTTCATTTATCGATGTCAACCCTAGCCGTTGTGAGATCTTTAAATCTTGCTTTTAGCCCGTTTCGATTGGAAAACTCCGATCGTCGATCCGCGTATTTGCATCATTTTTTTTCGACGATCTCACTGCTAAACTATCACGCATTATGCGTTGCATTTTTTGCGCCTTTATTTTTTTTTCTCTCTGGCCTAGCCGCTATATACACCGCAAATTTTTGCACTGCCGACCTCATTGTCGTGCAATCCAATTCATGCATATGCGTCGCATTTTCGTGCCATATCAACCTCAAATAGATTACAACTCTCAAGCTGTTCAAACGTTATCAAACAATACCGACTCAAGTTTGAACTACACCCTCACATGGAAGATGATTCGTTTAATACGATCACAATTTCAATTTTCAATTTTCAATTTTCAATTTTCAATTTTTATGTAACAAGATTTAATTCATCATAGTTGATTCATCTTGAGGGACATATAGAAAGATATTATTCCTAGAATATTATCATTAATATTGTTGTGATTTACCCTAAATATTATCTCTAGAATATTCTATTGTATTTTGTTATATATTAAGATGTATTCTTGCGATCATTAATAATATAAAAATATTTTGTCTATTATATTCAATCGTAATCTTGTATATCTGTTCTCAGATTCACCACAAATTGCGTAAAATCTGAGGATCTCATCGAATCTCTGCCAAAAAATCAAAAACAAAAACCCATATGACTACAATCTATGAGAGAGAGAGAAAGAGAGCTAACGTCGTGACTGTTGGCCATGACATTGAAGTTGACGCAGAGAAGCTGAAGAACTTGCAGACCACGACGAAAGGGTCTGTTCGGTTTCTAATCCTCAATCTTTGGGGTTGTGAAGAACAAGCTCTGTGGCTGGTCTTCTCTCGTTCACATTTTTCAATTTCAGCCCAAACCCCCAAATTTCACTGTTTCTCCACTTTGGGATGCCCAAAACAGCCGACAGTTTTCAGCGAAGCCAACCCTAACGCGCGAAAGATCATTGGATATGAGCTCTTCTTGGTCACTGAGTAGTGTAAACCCTAATGCGACAACAACGCCCACATATCTCCTTTTTATTCGTAATGGGTCGGTCTCGAAACCTTTCGGTGCATTAATGGAGTAGTGCTCCACTTAGCCGAAATGTTGGGATTCCTGGGATCTCTGGAGCGAATCCTATTCCTAAGAGATCGATTATAGGGTTTGCACAGCGAATGAAAAATAAAAATTTTATGAAACCCTACAACCATGTATGTATGAATCGTAGAAACGTTAGAACGCTTACCTCAATCGATCTGGGGTCTGTATCAACTGAAGAATTCGTCTGATCACTTAAGGCAGGAAGATTACCTCGCCCTCTACACGTATCCACACCTCGGGATGGATTCCAACGATTGGAACTTGTCTGCTAGGA